TCACCTTTCCTACTTTTCCGATGTGGACCGTGGAGCAATAGAAGATTACCTAGAAACCAACACTGATATTCTCGATGCATGCAACTACTTTGTGGAAAGAGTGGAGGGCATGAAGAAGAACTACGTGGAGTCTTTGAGAAACGTTGCACGCTTTGTTGAAATCAACGCAACATCACGTGCTTTGGATCGATTGGTCCAATCGGAGTCAAGTCAGGGCACAGAAAAAAGGAGAGTCAAAATGGGGAAGCCAAGAACAAAGCAAGGCCATGAAACTGAGTTGGGTGAGATATTGTGTGGCTCCAAGGCCATGGCTTTGATGAGTTGTTGTTTTCTTGAACAGGCCTTGTCGATTGATTGTGGGAAAAGTGAATTTCCCATGATGAAGGGTCACCCGGTGAGTTGTTCATGGTTGAGGATTATGCAGTTGGCAGAGAAGAAAAGGAGAAGTGGGTCTTTGGTGATGGTTGAGTTGCAGCAGACAGTGGGTGCAGCTAAGGAATTGAAAGAACTGATCAAGGGTAAGAAGGGAAAAGAGATGGTTGAATGTTGTGTTGAGAGAGTGAAGAGAAGCTGCAAGGAATTGGAAGATGAGATTGGTTTTATTGAGGGAAAAGTGAGAGATTTGTACAGAAGTTTGATTGATTTTAGAATGGTTTTGCTGGGAATTCTTTCCCAGTCTTAGATCAATTTTTAGATCAGATAAAAGTAGCAGGTTTGATTAGGAAATTAGCTTAGGTATGGTGCCATTTTCTGGCAATCACGGATGTATAGAATTGATATGAGATTTTGAAAATAAATTGACCTCTCCCACACACACCATTTTATGGCTGTGGTTAGTTTCTGGTCTGCACTTTCAGTCATTTTCATTTGTTTGGTTTCTTGTTATCTGTGTTAGTTTTGGACATCATGGTTGTTTGTGCTATGTGTACATGTTGGTCTTGTTTGAATGGTTGAGCCACATAATAAGGCTTGGTTTTATCATTAGCAAATGTAAACTTAGCTCCCAACCTTCATTCATAAATAAGCTTGATTTATACATAATATTGTAGATATTACTGATAGGCTTTCTTAGAGATTATTGAGAGAGACTGTATTAATGAAATATGAATCTAACTCTTCATATAAGACATTATAATCCAAATTCTTAAAACAATCAATTTAGTCTTTCAAGTTTTTCAAATATAGAATTCTCAACAGTTTTAGGAGGATTCTCAAAAGTTTCATTAAAAGCATGTTCTAATAATATAGTCTCAACACACAGGAGTTTGATTTTCTTTTCACCGAATTTTTTTGGAAGGATCTAACTTAACTGATCAATTTTGGTCAAATTTTTCTCTTTTTCTATTTATAAATTTTCTAATTTGAATATAAATAATTACAGTAACAGTACAATGCTGTGAAATGTGGGAATCAGAATCATGCAGTGTAAAGCACTAACTATTTTCTAATATTAACACTCATATAACAAGTTTAGCACCTCAATGCAATCAAAGGTTGAAACTTTCATCACTTTTCAGAGACATTGCAACCTTTTTTACATCCCATACAATAAATTATACGTGATGTTAAAATTGATAATATATACTATATCTCTACTTGGAGTTTAATAATTTTAGGCACATGTATCTCTCTGTTTCTTTTCATATGTTGATCATATATAATTCACATGAATATCAGCGTTTTTTTTTCTCTTTTCTGTGAATAAAAGGATATATTTATGAGGATTTGGTATATATTAATTGAAAAAAGTAACTTGATTTGTTGCTTTTTTACTTTGAACTCTCATCTGGAAAGCTGAAAACGAGACGGGAAATTTGGACTGAATTCTTTCTTCAAGGGAGTCTATTCCGTTTGCAGAGGAAAAGTAAGAAATGTTAACTATTAACGAAAAATAAGTTCTTTAATATAATAATAATAGGCAAGAACATATTAATAAATTATCGATTAAGTTTCCCTGTTGATATATTTTTATTTATGGATTAACGTCTTTATTCTTTGAAGTATATTTATTATAATAACTTCTAAAGTTCGTCATATCCATGAAATTTTTTTATAGAAAGGTCATAAAAAATGATTTTTTTTCCAAATTTGTAAAACTCTATAAAATATTTGCAAGAAGAAAAATTAAAATCAGTAATAGTTTCTCTTAGACTTTGGACACGTTCACTTTCTATTTGTCTCAGTCTCATATTGTCTAAATCAATATACTTGCATAAAGTATTTTAATATTGAAGTCCGTGTTAATTCAAATACAAATTATATTAAATATTGTAATAATTGTAACTCAACTATCTTACTTAAATTGTATATTTATATTATTTGTAATGGATATTCACTTACATTTATCTAATTGTGGCCTAATCATGTCTTAATGTCATTATTTAGTTAATATGTGCTAAATCATGTTTAGGCTAATTAATCATGTTGACATGCAGGGATTCTTCCATCGACCAAGCATTTTGATTTGTCTGTTGCATAATTGATCGATTGGTCACTTCAGCAGGTGATGACATACTCTTTAGCCATGACTAAATACTTTCAAGAAGAGTTGAAGTCATATGTGAAAGATGGGCTTAGACTTTGTCTCTTGAGCCATCATGAAGCTTAGGCCAAGTAGTGTAGGGATTTTAGACCACTTAAGTCAACAAAGGCCAAGGCCCAATGTTGACCAAGTGGGATGTCCAAATCTTTGTAAGAGTGGTCATGTGTCATGCTTACTTGGAGAGGATTTCCCATGGGTAGTGGCTACATGTCCTCCTCCTCCTAATGGTTTTAGGTCTAGCTTCTAGAATTTGGAGACACTCTTAGCCTATAAATAGAGGTATCATCACTCTTGTAATTACCTTTGAATTTGAGTAAAGTTATGCTATCATTTTTGTGCCATATTACTTATCTTAGGTCACTAAAGGCTAGAGCATCTCATGTGGTTTCCTCTAGCCACTTTCTTTTAGAGTTAGCCTAACCTCTCTAAGAGCACTATCAAACACCACCCCATCACCTTCCAAACACCAAGGTAGTAAGCCTTCTTTCCTCTAGCAAATTTGACACCATATCATCTTTCAACCATCTCTTTGACATCTCTTTTAGTTTTAGTCCAACCTAGCTAGGATGAGTGTTATCAACACATCTATTTGACATTCTTACCATACAATAATAATAATAAGAATTCTAAACTTTACTAAATATTTTAATCATAGGCATTACTTGGAACATAACATATGATTTAGTATGCAAAATTAATCCAACTTATTAGACAACAAAGGAAAATCCTTGAAAAATATATCCATGACATGATATCTTGTGAGCATTTGAATTACATCATTTGGTACTCCAAAGAAAGTTACATCACTAAATCATTTAACGTTTCATCATAACTATTATGGATATGTACAAATCATAACACCATTAATAAAACTTTCAGTTTAGGTAATATAATAGCTTTTAATTTTTGAAAGAGTAAATTCATATGACTTTTCTATTTTAAAATAAATGAATATCAATATTATTAAGACAAAAGTATTATAGCAAAATTTAGTAAGAGTTTGTTCACAAATTTGCAACGTAATCTACCACAAGAGAGAAAAATATATTTTAACATAATTTTTTACATTCATTTGATACTACTTTTTCTTATTTTTTACCTTTTTCTTTTTTGAAAAAATATGAAAATTCATTTCTTTATAACTATTTTATCCTTATACTATGTGTCAAATAAAAGTAAAAGTGTGTCACCTTATCATTACTGACTACAAAAATATGACAATGGAATTATGGAGGACAAAATATTAAGGTTGGAATAAATACCTTTGTTGCCACTGTCTAAAGCAAATAAGAAAACATCAAGACACATATACAAATTGGAATTTGGCTTTATCTATATACACATAGGACTCCACAGGTAAGATATTGTTCGCTTTGGGTCAAACTCTCACGGATTTGCTTTTGGTATCACTCCAAAAGGCCTCTTTCCAAGGGAGATGTATATAAACTCATTCATCTCTTGTTTTTATTCTATGCAGGACTTTGTTTGTATCTTAACAATCATTCACTTAAAAGTTCTAATTCTTTTGGGTTAGACAAAAAGGTTAACGACCTAATTCGTTAATTTTTTTTTAATTTGTTATATATATATATATATATATTAAAATTATATTATAAATATTTTTTAAAATTTTAATTAATTAATTAATATATTTAATTAAATAAATTAAAATAATTATTATTCTTGTATTTTAAATTATTTTATTATAATTAATAATTAAAATTTCTGTATTAATGATTTAAGGTATAATATTATTATATATTTACATCATTCAAAAAATATAATACATAAAAAATAATTTTTTATTTAAAAGAAAACTTAACGTACCAGTCTGCCCATTTGACAGCTAGATGGGATGAAGTAAAAGCTGGATGAGTTGAAAATTTCAATTCTACCAACCAAAATTTGACAAATGATAAAGAGACACATACCCATTTTACCATCCAATTGATTCTCATCATCTTCCCAAAACTTTTTCAAAACCACTCTTAGAAATTTTTTTATTATTTTCTAAAACTATACTATTTTAATTTGAGAAGATTAGTTTCTCATGTATGAGAAGGAAAACTATAATATTATTAATGTTGTTAGAACGTAGAAGAAGTGAATTAAAGATTTTGAAGATTTATTTATTTAATTTCTTCTCATAATTACAAATTAATTTATGTTTTAGAAGCATTGAATTTTTTATAAAAGTAAAAATAGCATGAATTTGACACATCTAATAAGATAAAATAGTTTTAAATAAGTAAATTTTTATAGTTAAAGAAAAAAGAAAAAATAATATCAAATTAATATAAAAAAATTATATGTGTGAAAGTATATTTTTCCTTTTATAAAGTCAATTATATATTTCCACTAGAATGATTAGGTGAGTGAATGGAATGTGATAAGACTAGTTGGTCCATGCGTGATCACTTGGAGTTGGTGGATTCTTCATATAAAGTGAAAGAAATGAAGTCGACTTATTTGTGTCTCGTCCTTCATTCTCTCTCCCAAATTTGTGTGTTTTTGATGCAGTGCTGTGTTGTTTTGAGTGTGTGGCAAAACGAAGATTAAGCAAAAGAGAGAATATAAAGAAAGAAAAGAAAGTTGGTGGTAGATATGGCGTTGAAGGAGACATTTTACATATCTCATGGATCACCCACTTTGTCCATCGATGAATCCATTCAGGCTAGGAAGTTTCTTCAGTCATGGAAGAACGACGTCTTTCCTCACACACCCTCTTCAATTCTCGTCATCTCCGGCCACTGGGACACCACAGTTCCCACGGTCAACGTAGTTGACTCCGTCAACGACACCATCTACGACTTCTATGGATTCCCCAAAGAAATGTACCAGGTTTCCACCTAGTACCTCTAAATTTATGACACCCCTCTTTTTCATTCTTCTTTTTGCATTCTTTGTTTTTAGAAAGCAAGTGCTTTTAGTTTCGTTACAAAGGAGGAATTGAGTTTTTGACTTGTTGCTGCTTGATAATTTATTCCAAAGAATGTTTTGTTTGTTTTCATTTGAGATAGGACTTTCCATGGTGATGTTGTTTGGTAGATTTATGTGGAAATCTGTTAAATTACATGATTGATGCTTCCTCTGCTAGCTTAAATATCCTGCTCCTGGAGCGCCAAAATTGGCAAGGAGGGTGAAGGAACTGCTGAGAAAATCTGGTTTCAATCGTGTTGATGAAGATACAAAGCGAGGACTTGACCATGGAGCTTGGGTTCCCCTGTTTTTGATGTACCCAGAAGCCGACATTCCAGTTTGTCAGCTGTCTGTTCAATCAAACCAAGATGGAACTTATCATTATAACCTTGGAAAGGCATTGGCCCCTCTTAAAGATGAAGGTGTGCTCATCATTGGTTCTGGAAGTGCTGTTCATAACTTGAGAGCCATTATGCCTAACTCCCCTGTGCAGCCCTGGGCTCTAGAATTTGATAATTGGTTGAAAGAGGCTCTTCTTGAAGGAAGGTATGCAAGCTTTCTCTGTTTTGATGTTCAAACTAGATAAGTGTTTTACTTTGTTATGGATCTTAACTACATGCATCTAATTACCAAGCTAGTGTATGGCATTGGAAAACTAGCCCCTGAATGTTGTAGAGTTTGGCTCTTTATGGATTGGTTGTTACAGTTCAAGTTCTTTTGTGGATATAAGATGTAAATCGTTATGAACTGATGAATGCATGGTTGATCTTATAAAGGATGTTATCTGCAAGGATCATTTTACCAAGATACTGTATGACATTGGAAAACTACAGCCATTGAGTGTTGCAGAATTTGGCTCCTATGGATTGTTTCTTAAAGTTTTGTATTGATTTTGTAGATATGAAGATGTGAATCATTATGAACAGAAAGCACCACATGCAAAAAAGGCTCATCCCTGGCCGGATCATTTTTATCCCCTGCATGTTGCTATTGGTGCCGCCGGTGAGAATTCAAAGGCCAAACTCATCCACAGTAGTATTGAACTTGGCACTCTCTCTTATGCTTCTTACCAGTTTACATCAGCAACTGGCAGTTGAGCTTCTTAATGCAGAATTGCTGCTGTTCATTTGTGCATCCTCTGTATACATTTATTCAATGTTTATGAAGATATGTTGTTTGCAAGTTTAGACTTGGGATTCTGTGATGTATAACAAATAATTCTGTGATTGTCAAGCTCCTTTTCTTATGATCGCTGCGTTGTGGCTCATAAAATGAGAAGGATATTAAAACTATGTTTTACAGTGACCTATTAAAATATGCCTATGGTTTTACTCACTCTTCATTAATTAAAATCAAGGTCTGATAGCATCTTTGCATTTTTGAACTTTCTAGTCTTTCCCGAATGATCGTCTAATATGAATGTGGTTTATAGTTCCTTCAATGTGTTGAGTTGTTCTTGACTGAGTACATTTAATTGGTAGGCAAGCAACAATTTACTGTAATGATCCAAGAGAAGACTGATTTATCTGATTTGATGCCAATATTGATGAATCTTGAAGTCAAAGCTAGTGAGGTTGGTGATAATATCAAACAATAAGATTAGGTGACATCTGTGGACAGCATCGAGGATATCAACTAACGTTCCTAATATTAACTTCTGGAATTTTCTATATTCCCCAATTCCTAACCAACCAAACCACTACAATAACAGGTAACATGAATCGAACAATTACGAAAATAGATATATACGTGTGTGTGTAAAGAGAGAGAGAAACACAACATCACTAAGCTCCTCAAAGTGCATGAGTCAATTTCGTAAATTACCAAAATCAATCCAACACCATCATGGAGGGTCCTTCAAAACCATTGTTTGAAATAAAAAGCATCATTTTATAATTGGAATTGCACGGTTAGTGCATTGAGAACATAAACTAAGAAATCTCAAAAAAAATCTTGTTGAATCTAGAGGTTCAGATATACAAATATCAAAGAGATATAATTCTAATCATATAAAGAATTGACATAGTTTTCTGTTTTAAAACTTTAAAACTATTCCCATTTAATAGTCTTTTTATTTATCCAGTATTCTACTTTCTCATTTTTATCCAAGTCCTACTTGAATTCACAGCATATCTTACAACACAAATGAACCTAGAAGTTATAAGATATAACTGTAATTTAGTTCAATAACACAATCCATGAAAACTCCCATCAAAATAAAATGTAATTCAGGCATCCGGCAACAAATATTTCTTGTATTCACCCCAGGTGACTAATGTAATCTGAATCTTCATTATCCACACATCACATCCACACTACACTCCATTTCCACCTTCTTCAACTACACCACCAAACCTTGCACCATTTTTCTTTCTAGCATTCATTTTATAAAATTCTCTCAGTTTATAACCCATTGGCACACCCCTTTGCTTCATTTCCACCAAAATTGACATTGCTTCTTCCTCCTTCTTCAAATTCACCAACTTGCTAGCCAAAACACCAAGAAGCTCAGCATCCAACAACTTATCCCTCCCAACAAAACTCCTTACATACCTCATAACATGTTCATAGCACTTCATTCTCAAAAGGGTCCTAATAACATACATGTGCGTTGAGTACAGCATGGGCACTCCATCATCCACCATCCTCCTCAGTATCACCATTGCACCATCCACCTTTCCCGCCCTACACGCGGCCAACACCAACGTGTCAAACGTACGTGCATCCGGCGCAATACCCTCTTCCTCCATTTTCCTCAAAACTCCGGCCGCCTCATCAAAGTCTCCGGCGTAACAGTAGGCCTTGAGAAAAACGTTGTAGCCTATCTGGTCCAGCCCAATACCGAGCTCAGCCATTAAATCCACCACGCCCCTCGCGTGGTCGAGGGACCTCTCCCTTGTGAGGGACCTGAGGATGGGATAGAAGGTCCACGCGGTTGGGACACAGACGCCACCACGCGCCAATGACTCGATCACGCGAAGCGCTTCCTCCCTGCATCGGATCTTGCAGAGGCGCGAGACAAGCAAGTCGAGCGCGTTGCGGCGCGTGTAACCTTCATTGAGATGGGAGATGGTTTCAACGAGCTTATCGATGAGGGAGGGAGAGCAATTAGAGTGAGTGAGGAAACTGAAACTGCTTTTGTTGTTGTTGAAGCCGTCTTGAACGCGCTTGTTGAGGACGTCCCGTAGAGCACTGTAGTCGCCGGAGCTGACGGCGTCGGCGGCGACTTCATCGTAGTAGGCACCGGTGGGATCGTCGGGGAAGGGTTTAGTAATTAGGGTTGTTGCGAAACGACGACGTAGAGTGGAGAGGGATTTCAGAGTTACGTTTGAGGGTTTGGGGAAAAACATCGTTTGTTGTGTTTCTTATTTTGAAATTGGTCATTCTATTGTAACAAACAAACTCTTAACGCTATTGATATGCGAGTTTTTTATTTTATTTTATTTTTCTTGAATAATACTCTTCCATATGAGTAATTAGATAACTACTTTTTATTTTAAAATACTTAAATAACTTATTTTTAAAAATAACCATCACATAATTTTTTAATGTTATTTTTACGAAAGGTTTAATACCTATTTTGGTCCCTTTTTTGGGAGGGTTTGTTCAAAGTGGTCCTTTCTTTTTTCAAAAATTCACTTTAGTCCTACCTTTCGCAAAAACTATTCAAGTTGGTCCTTTTTGGTAACGGCGTTAAGTTCACTAACGGTAGAACTGCCAGGTGTGCAATGTTTGATGACTTGGAACCTTTTATATGTGTTGGCAGTGTCACTTCATTATATGGGTTAAAAAAAAATTAATTTCTCAACCAGAAACCTTAGGGAGAGTTTGCTTCCCACTGCCTCTCACTGATTTGCCGCTGCAACAGGCCTCCACCCAACCAGCCACCGCGAGTTGTGGCACAAGGCGTCGCCGGCGCTGACGTTCGTTGCCGATCGAGGTGAGAGTTCCCCTCTTCCGCCGCTCGTCGCGCGATCGCTGCCACAATCTCTGCCGGCCACCGCACCAAGGTGCCTCTTCCTTCTCCTCTTCGCGCGAGGTTCTCCCTTCGCCTCGTCTTAAGACGTTGATGCCAGAAAGGGTCGCCACTCCAATTCCGGCGATAAAACTCCTCTTCCTCTGTTATGCGAAGTCGAAGGTGAAATAAATCGTCATGGTTGCACCGCTTCTACTCGGAATTCACACCCGCCATCGTCAATCACCTTCTTGTTTGTACTGTATTGTGTTGGGCGTGAGTCTTGGGGCGTGAAAAATTGATTTTCTGATTGGTGTAGTGAATGTTTTCTGTTAAGCATTGGGTTGGGGAAAAAATGGGTTTATGTTTGGGTTGAACTTCTGGAGATGAAGGAGAGGGTGTTCAGAATTCTCAGGTTGTGATGGTAAGGCGTTTTGCTTCAGAAATTGATTTGTTGTTTGATTTTCTTTCGGCGGTGGTTGATTTGGGTGATGGTGGAAGATGAGGGATATGAGTTGTTTCAAAAGATAAGCTTTAAACCTATCGGCATGGGATTTGTGATTTGGGTCTGTTCATTCTGGAAATGCATTTGATTCTGCTACCATTTTCTATAGTGTTTTCTGGGTGTAAGCAGAGGAGTATCGAAGCCTTGATGCTGGTGGAATATACACTATTTTTTTATTTTACCCTATTTACACGTCATTATTAATTATTTTTTAAAACAAATTATAATGCCACATGATCAAACATTGCACACTTGGCAGTTCTACCGTTAGTGAACTTAACGCCCTTACCAAAAAGGACCAACTTGAACAGTTTTTGCGAAAGGTAAGACTAAAGTGAATTTTTGAAAAAAGGAAGTACCACTTTGAACAAACCCTCCCAAAAGAGGGACAAAAATAGGTATTAAACCTTTACGAAATTATATATATATTTTTTTTGAACATTGTTATTTTCATATATTTTTAATTAATTAATCGTAAAAATAATAAAACTATAGAAGCAATGAATTATAAAAATTATACATATTTTTAAAACTATATTATTTTAGTATAAATAAAAGATATATAAACAAAGTTGCGCTTCCCATGTTTTCGCTAGTGAAATGAGAATGATAGTAACCTTTACTAAATTGAGAAAGTTATTTAATTACTAATACAATGATAAATATGTATAATTTGATTTTTGAAAAAACAAAATTGTAATAGTTATAGTGCACTAGTAAGGAGTAACTTGTGACCACTAACAAGTAAAACGCCGCGTTTGAAACTGAGAAGGTCGTGAAGTTTTGCCACTGTTCTCTTCTTTCAGAATTTCTAACATACACAATAAAGTTAGGGTTTCACGATTTCGTATTTCCGTTCACCTCTTCACTCACATAGACAGGATTTCTCCGCGCTTTCCTGCCCGCCACTTAAGAAATTGAAAGAATACGGGACAAGGTGTGAGGATTTTTCTTTATTGTAGAATTCTTACTTCCATTGGGGTTTTTGAATTTTTGTTTATTGCTGACAATTTGATATTTTTATGACTCTGGGACTCAATTGTCCGTGCTTTGGGAATTTTTTCCCTTTTGGTTGGAGTTTTAAATTTATACATACTTTGTTTTTTGGTTGCAATGCTGTATTATGTTAATTGTTAGATTATGCGGTGGTTTGCAATTGGCATCGAGAATTTGAGACATGATTTGCATGCACATTGATTGATGATGTTTGCAGTGGCAATGACTTATGTGGATGATGATGGTTCTTCTGGCTCTGGAGATGATGTAAACTTATTGGATGGACACAAGCGTCAGGCTGGCATGGCATTGAATTCTTGCGGTGGCCGGAAGAGGGGCCGGAAAGCTACTGGAGCTGCCATAGTGGATGCTATGTTGGAGATAGTGGCTGCTTCAAAGATGAGGGCAAGTGCAATCGCGAAGAATGAGGAAAGGTTCTCTATAAACAAGTGCATCAAAGTGTTGGATGAGATGCAAGGTGTTGATGAGGGGATTTACTTTCTTGCTTTGGATTTGTTTGAGGACCACCCTAATGCCCGGGAAGTTTTCATCTCTCTTAAGGACGAAAAACGGTTGCCATGGTTGCAGGGCAAATGTGGTGTTTCCTCTAGTTGATTTGTTTGAGAAAATTTCCCATATTTTATTGTTAAAAACTGCCCAATACTTTTGTATAGTTAAATAGGCTGCAAGGGGTGATGTTTGTTAGTGCTTTTACTTCTTTGATTTTGTGATTAATGCCTATATTACCGAGTTTGAGTTTGGAATTTTGAACTAGATATATCAGAGAGAT